AGAGGATTTTGGTGTACTTAGTATGTGATATCTTCATTCATTAATGACTGTAAACCCTTTTCTGACCCATACTCTTCTGAGTGCTAAGATGCCTCAGAAAGACAAAGAGGGCATGAAATGATATTGTGACTGACTTTTGAATGCGTCTTATATTGGTTACATAGTCATATTTCAAGGTGTATTCTGTTCTAATTATTGTGTATTTTTGTTTGTTTTTTTAAAGAAAATCTAATACTTCCCACTGCCTTACCTCCCTTAAATTCAACAGCCTTTTTTGAATTACATCTAGAACAGGAAAGAAAACAGATAAAAAGGATAAGGTGGGTTGGAAGGCTCATGAGACTTCTGTTATTTATGCATTGACTGATTAACCCAGTCGGTGGTGGTCCTGGGCATTTAACTCAAGGTACTGTACCTGGTACGCAAACATTGTGCTACAGAGCAGTACCCTACAGCCCCATCCTACTTGTTTATTTGATTGCGATAAGGACTTGCTATAGCCCAGAATGGTCTCACACACACTAAACTATATGGCTGAGGCTGTCCTTAAACATTCAGTCCTCCTGCATCCCCAGTGCTGCACACATGGGTCACTAAATCCAACCATGCCCCCTAATACCAGTCACCTAAACTTTTGTGATTAGTCAGTTGCACTGGAATTCACTTGTATATGTAATAATCTTAAGATTATGTTTCTGATAGTTAGACAGAATTAACAAGGCCTGGGGACTGGTGAGATTGTTCAGCAGTTAAGGGTACATGCTGCCTTTGCAAAGGACCTGACTTAGGCTCCCAGCTCCAGGGAATCCAGTGTTTCTAGCCTCCCAGGAATCCATACTAACATGCACATACCCATACACAGACACACTTAAACACATAATTTTAAATAAAAATAAATCTTTTAAGATTTTATGGGCATGGTGGCACATGTCTTTAATCCCAGCACTTGGGAGGCAGAGGCAGGCAGATCTCGATGAGATGGGAGGGCAGCCTGGTCTACATAGGAAGTTCCAGGCCAGCTTGGGGCTATAGGGAAACCATTTCTCAACGAATAAAAAAAGATCAGGAAAAAAGAAAAAGTGATTTAGTTTTGGAAAGTGCAAAGGAGGCTCAAACCACATTGATGTAGAGGTCTGCCTTGGGGCAGGCCATTTGTTCATAAGGATGAGTCAGAAAGGGGTCATCAGATCAGTGCCCAACTTCTCAGTAAGGCAGTTAAGATCTAGAAATACAGAATAGTTTTATTGAAGTTAGTTACACAACTATCTTGACCAAAGCCAGCATGTCTACTTTTGACTTGTGGATCATTTGTTTCTCTGCTTCCATTAATAACTAATATAACCACCCATTAAAATAGTACAGAAACTATATGAAAAATTAGTTATATGTCTGCATTATTCCAAGCAGTAACTTGGTTTATAAGTATCAACAAAGAGTGGAAGGGTATACACTGAAACATTAAGCACATTAACTCAAGTAAAGGAAATAAATTCTTAAGCTAACTATATTAGTAAATAGAAAATGTATTTATGAGGGCTAGGGAGGTGGCTCAGCAGTTAAGATACTGGCTGCTCTTGCAGAGGATGCAGGTTCTATTCCCAGCACCACATGGAAGCTAGTAGCCATTCGTAGCACCAGTTCCAGGGGATCTGACAGCCTCTTCTGTCCCCCACAGGGATTGCACAACATGGGTGCACTTATATACATGCAGGCATAACACTCATACATACAAAATAAAAATAAATAAACCAAAACAATTTTTTGTGTTTTTACATCTCTGTTTATTTAAAGATACACACACAGGTACTTTTTAAAATATTTTATTTTATGTGTATGCGTGTATTTCCTGCATGTAGGTAAGTGCACGTGTGTCATGCAGTGCCTGCGGAGGAGAGAAGAGGCTGTCGGATCCCCTGGAGATGGAATTAGAGACAGTTGTTAGCTGCCATGTGGGTGCTGGGACTCGAACCTGGGTCTTCTGCAAGAATAGCCAGTGTTCTTAACCACTTAGCCAACTCTCCAGCCCACCAAAACAGTTTTTAAAAAGAAAATGTATTTAACATGGGCTGTCGGATGCCCTGGAGATGTAATTAGAGACAGTTGTTAGCTGCCATGTGGGTGCTGGGACTCGAACCTGGGTCTTCTGCAAGAATAGCCAGTGTTCTTAACCACTTAGCCAACTCTCCAGCCCACCAAAACAGTTTTTAAAAAGAAAATGTATTTAACATGTTTCTCATCCAGTCATTTGTTTTTTCAATTAAAAGGTCAGAGATGGAGAACTGGATAAAGCTGCCTGGGTGTCAGCACATTATGGACACCAAGTGTGACTTTTCTTCAGCCAACCTAGATGTCTATGAGGAAGTTAAGTTGCATCTAAGAGCAGAACAAGGAAACAGCTCTTCTTCATGGATTGAGGTTGACTCATTTGTGCCATTTAAAATAGGTAAGAGGGGCTTGAGATGGCTGCATGGTTAAGAGCAGTGGTTGCTCTTGCAGAAGACCTGGGTTTGAATCCCAACTAACAACTATCTGTAACTCTAGTTCCAGGGGATCTGGCTCCCTCTTCTGTCCGGCACGGGCATTGCACAG